AACACTGACACTAACATGCATGTCTTTGGACTGTGGGAAGAACCCACAGAGACCCACAGAGGGGTGAACATGAAACCACACAGCAAGAACCCAACCAGCTGGTGCATTCAAACCTAGCACCTTCTACTATATTTTATTTTGATTTATACAACAGTTCAGTGAAAAGAGAAAGGTCCACGATCGTACCTTCTTTGATTGTGAAATGTAAAGTTAATTTTTTACAGCGTGGTCAGTATTTGTCTAGAACAGCAAGTCACTGTAATCTCTAACAAACACTCGGGAGAAAACATTCATTTTGTTGGCCTTTTGAGAGGCAGTGACCTCATTATTTTGCTGCTCCTGTGAGCATTTGTAGCAGCAGGATCTGACACTGTGAAAACACTGCAGTGAAAGCTAATATTCAAGGTACTGCTAGTAATTAAGAACGTGTCAGTGGGAGCAACAGAGACTCACTGATGTGTTTTTAAAATACAATAATGGAGCTGTTTGGCACAGGGGGAAACAAAGAAAGCCACCCCCATCTCTGAAATGTGAACGGTATCTGCAGCTTTATGAAACTGGTCTAATAATGGGCGTGTTCCCTCTGTCTAATTGCTCAACGTGATTACATATAATCATCTTCTTTCCCCACTCACCAATGTCTTTACTCTGCAGCTGGGAACCCAACTGACCACACTCAACCACCTTTCGGCTAGACATTTTTTTCAGCTCACAAAGAAGCTTCAATGATGTATATCTATATGCATATTATTCAGAAATATATAACCCATAAAATAACAGCATGTCATCATCAGGCTAAAGTCATTTTTTACTTCTTCATGTTTGCTAAATCTTCAAGGATTCTAAATCAATGTGTAAATAAATATATAGAATAATAATCATAAATAAATAAATAAAAATAATAAAACATTTTAAGTATTGCAACTTATAATAAAAAAATGTATTATTGTGGGGTCTACCTTACAATATAAAGCGCCTTGAGGTGACTGTTGTTGTGATTTGGCGCTGTATTGAATGTATTGAATTAAACTGAATTAAAGGCACACAGACAGCCGCCAACATCATCTTTTGCCTTCTTGTTTGTTTTGTGTGTTATTTAATGATCTCTGCTGCGTTATTTTGTATCTAAGGTTGTATTACAGCTTTAGTTAGCTACGGTATGAGTCA